TTCTCATGACTCCACACTGCATCTACGCTGTAGACAATTCCCAAATTGGTACTATTGCACATCACCCACACGCAGAGGACGCGGGGTCGCCATTGAATTTGGAAAGGATATTCCCTTTTCGATTATCGACCAACTAGCAGATCCAGATGGTAGATATCTTTTTATTCAGGTTACAATATATGGTGTTTCCTATACTCTGGCAAACGTTTACTGTCCGAATTCCTCACCAGCCCCTTATTTCAGAAAAATTCTAGGCAAACTGCGGAGTTTCCGTCTAGGCCACTTAGTAATAGCAGGGGACTTTAATTTCAGTATGGACCCCTCAATAGATACTTCCTCTGGTACAGCCCGTAACCCTAAATCTCATCTAAACATGGTACGGAGGGCACTACACGGTCTCCAGCTGCCGGATGTGTGGAGAGTACTGAATCCGAAAGAGAGAGACTATTCTCACTACTCAGCGGTGCATGACTCCTACTCAAGGTTGGATATGATCTTCTTAGATCACTTTCTCCTTGGAAATGTACAATCTGCCGACATCTCCCCTATGACCCTATCCGACCACACGCCGGTCGCCATGGTAATCACTATGGTCAACACACCATCCCGTACCTACCACTGGCGATTAAATGAATCCCTCCTACATGATCCGCAAGTCGTGGAGACAGTAGCAGCTGACCTCACCACCTATTGTAGGGAGAATGATGGGACTTCGGTTTCACCCGCTGTTTTGTGGGAAGCCCACAAATCAGTGATTAGAGGTACCCTTGTGGCCATAGGCTCTAAGAAAAAGAAAGAACGTATTGCGCAGCTGCAACTGTTATCTGAAATACACTCATTGGAATTATCTCACAAGCTTAAATAGTACCCTGAAAAATCTAACATTTGACTTGCATTCCTCCTGATATATCGTGTTGCACATTTTCTGCCTTGAGACTCATATCTGTATATCTGCAGTGAGAGAATATCTAAGGCACTGCTGCCTCTAATCGATAGTTCTGTGAGGTTAGGAGTAGGATTGGTGATGTCACTACTGCTTGTTGGAGAGGAAGCTGTACCTGAGGACCTCAATGTCAAGACCTTCTTCACTGACTAAATTACTCATTACTAGAATTACCTTTCCCTAGTAATATACTGGAGAAATTCAATGTATCTTGATATGCAGAACAAATCACTGTATTGTTTTAATGTTGAAGAATTGCTTGTCACATGTATCCTTTCTTCCAATTAAAAACAACAATGTTCCTGCTTACTTTTAGGAGTGTAATTAAGAGGTGAGGACATTTAGTCATTGCGTCTGTGCATTTTTAGTTCTAGTTTTTCTAAATTGCACACATAGCCTAATGTTTTCAAATAATTTTTTTATCACTGTTGCATCAATTATAAATTATTACTTTGAAATATCTATAAATATATAGAATATATATCTTGAAACTTCTGAGACATTTGTGCTTAACCACTCAAGTGGAAAGCAAACACATCCATTAACCTGCTAAAGCAGTTTATTAGACTCAAAAAATGAGATGTAAACATATTGATGGATGAAGCAAACCATAATCACAAGTATTTTCAAAACATTTCAGGATCATGTACTTTTGAGTTTATATAGTCTTTGAATCTTGAGATCTTGAGAAGGGGGAATAACCTGTGTTTCCAATATTGAGTGTCATATGAAAATACTAATTGCATGTTGATCCTTCCATTCCACACCCCACAAAATCAAGAAGCAGAGGTTCGTTTTTTGTGGTTTTTTTTGTGCATGATCATAATATGGGGGAAATTGGGCCATAGGGTAACATTGTCAGGTAGCTTATCCATGGGAGCTTTCTAAGTTTTAGTAGATTATGCTCAAACATAGCTTATGCTCAAACATTATGCTCAAATAAGGCTCTACATTATATATGTATTTTTTATACCCCCTAGTATTTTCAACTAAGCCATAAAGCATTTTTTATGCAGAAATCTTTAAAATAACTGTTACAATTCCAAAATATATTTCACAAATGTAAATGTTTCTAAAGAATCAAATTTCAGAAACATTCACTGCAATGCATTTTGTGCTTCACTAAAAATTAATCTCAACACTAATACACATGAATAGGAATTCATGGGCTGCTCACATTGTTTGAAACTTTTTCCCCAATATTGTAGAAAACAGTTTATATTTGGTAATGAGTACACTGATCTTTACAAACATGAGCTTAGTGCGTATTTTGGGTGCTTTGTTGATGGTGGATGTGGGGATTGGGGTTTTGAGAATTGTGTGATGGTTATGTGACTGTGTTACAAAATATTAGTCCGGTTATTTTCTAAATGTTTGTAATGTGTTATGCTGGTCCCAACAGGCCACAAAAGCTTGTAGAAAATTCAGCAAGAGATGTGTTCACTCAATGTGCCTAATACATTTAGCTTTTTTACCTAACCTTACCACCATGGTTAAAATGTACGCAAGGCTCTCCCATACCGACCCCGCAGATCCCCAGCATGGATTCTGACAGGGGATCGGAGGGTTCTTGCAGCACGGCTAGCTCCCCGGGTGGCCCAGTCAATGGCTGGAGAGAAGCCCTCTCCCTCCTACCGACTAAGGCAGATCTTGACAGTATGGCCTCTAAGATAGTGGCGGCCCTGCGGTCAGAGGTGGCTGAAGTGAAGACTCGAGTACTACATAACATGTCCTTCTTACCCACAGGAAGTAGATTTATAGGGTCAGGCGGGGTACTCGCTGCACTTCCCCTCGCTACGACAACTTGATGGACATCCTCTCCTCCTATGGCTCCCTCTCTAATTTTAAAATCAACTTCTCGAAGTCGTCGGCGTTGAATATCTCCCTGCCTGCCACCTCGATCCCTCACCTCCAGCGATCTCTCCCTTTTCGCTGGGAGGTTGACAGCATAAAGTACTTAGGGACCCGTATCACCCCTGACTTATCAAACCTATATGAAGCAAATTTCACCCCATTTTTCCACAAACTCAAGCAGGACCTTCGTCTCTGGGGAACCCTATCTTTGTCATGGTTTGGCAGATGTAACTCCCTAAAGATGACGGTCCTGCCCAGTTAGACTACCACCTTTATTTTTCCATCAACTACAAACGGAATGCGTCTCCTTCATTTGGGGGGCTGGTTCTCCCCGCATTAGTAGACGTACGATGACTACCTCCGGCACATGAACAAATGAAATGCACCCAGTCCGACTGACTTCGCTGTGGACAGATGGCCTGGGAATCCAGCACGGGGGTCCAAGCCCCTTGTTCCCTCCCCTACCCCATCCCTCTCTCTCTTCCCCTGCTTTTGTCATACCTCCCCACCTTGGCTTGCTCTGCTCTGTTCTTCACTGCCTTCCTTTCTCATAATCTGATCAAGTACTCCAGAAGTAGTACACAGGGGGGGCAGGGAGGTCACAATGCAGCCCTCATCACTATGGCAGCAGATGTTACACTTAGCGACTTATCATTGACATTCTTGACTATGTTTATCTGCCCTGAGATGTTTAGAGTACTTGGCTCCCCCAAGCGTTCTTCACAGTGTATTTTCCCCATCATGCGCTGGAGCCCTGTTATTGACGCGGATATAGCTAAATGCTTGGAGTGTTGTTACTTTTCGAAGCTTTTATCGCTGATAGATGGAAGATGTCAGTGTGACTGTTTGTTCGGATTATACTTGTAGTGTACTGTATTACCACTGTATGTCTACTGTATTGCCTGACGTTTTCAATAAAAGCTTTTGAATAAAAAAAAAAAAAAAATGTACGCAAGGGCAAAAAATAAAACAGATTCATAAACATGCACATTTCCTCATGCTTTGTCCAGTAGTTTTCCACCTGGACTCCCATCAAGATCTCAAATGAACATGTTCCATCCACATAACTTTTTCATGGGTAGCACCCTTGAAAAGTCTTGTGGATGAAACACATTGGACAGGGCTCAGGGATGTAATTGATTTGAGATCTTGCCAGGAGTCCAAGGGGTGAGCTAGTGAAAGTGTGCTGGGAGACCGGCATATGGGAAAACCGCTGACACAACTAGGAAAGCTGAGCCGTGTATTGGAAACCATCCATTGCCATTTACATAGCGCTGATTGACACTATGAAGATGTGAGTGATGTTTTTATGTGGTATTATTATAATTTTAGATGGTTTTATGCTATGTGGGGCTTCTCCTTGTTTCTTCCACTTTTGTGGGATACACATAAGGGAACTCTGTAGGATTCAGCTCAATACCACAACAGTCTAAAAGGAGCAAAGACCTGGCTAAATAGAAGAAAGGACATGCATTTCAGGCATGTTTAGCTTTCCATAATTAGAGAGGCAATACGAGGGGTGAGTGTCTTTCTGACTTTGAGTGGAGGTGATGTGCACAGAAAAAGGTGGACTTTAAGAAGTCATGGATTAAGCTTATATCACCTTGGGGCTATATATTAATTATATTTTCTGAATGTACAGGAAGGATTGTTTTTGTTGTGTGTGTGTATATATAGAAAGAATATGCATTAGAAAGTGTGTTATAAAAAGCGTTACATTTTGTGTTATATATCAGTGAGTGTTCAGCAAGTATATCTGCTTATACATAGTATACAGTATTTACTGGCATGTATAGCCCATAGCAGAACCTAGGAGTGCACTTCTGGAAGATCAGTATTTCCCTGTACTTACAGGGCCATCAAAGGAATAAACATAGGGAAATGGGTGTGTATTGCTGAGATGTAGTGCATATTTTTTTTCCCCTGACATACACTTTAACAAAGTAATTTCTTGTGTAATGCTATTTATTGCTGCTTTATGAAATAACCCAACTGAGTCAGTAGTTAACACTAATCTTAATGTAGACCACTCAGGCTTTCACATTTTTATAAAATAGCTAGGTAAATCTCAAGTTTCACATGAAAAAATGTGAATGGGTCAACATGTATATAGAAACACAGTTAAGTATTTTGCTATATTAAACAAGTAAAAAATACCCAAACTATTAAAGTAAAAAGCAATTTAGACACATTAAGGATCTACTAATCCATTGCTGTCGCTGTCAAAATATTTGAACATCTGATCCACCAAGATCTTTTTAAGACCAAATTTGTCTGTATTTTCCTTCTCGCTATCCTTTCTGACACGCTTCTGGTTCTGGGAATCCAGTAATGCATTCTTCATCTTAACATAGTCTGTTGATTTGCACTTGTCTCCTGAATAGACACAGACAAAAGCATCAGTCAGTTGAAAGATCCATACTAAATGCCCAACAACACATCTCAAAACAAATATGAATGCTTTAAGATACAATGAGGGGAATATTATCAAAATGGGAGCAGACACAATTGGAGCAGCTGTGCACTGCAACCAATCAGCTTTCCACTTTCATTTTCAAATCTTAACTGAACAAACTGAGGCGAGATGCTGATTGGTTGCCGTGGGCAACTGCCCCCCATTTTGTCTGCTCCAGTCTTCATAAGTTCCCCTCAATGTATGTTGGAACATAAATACTTTTTAAAAGGAATGCATTCAAACAAAGTAAATATTATTCACTTAAGATCAAACTCTAGCCAATTATATTGTAGGCTTAGATATAATAAGTTAAGGGTTAGAACCTTTTTGTTTATTTCATTGCTCTCTGTGTCCTGATGGGGGGAGATTTTCCCTTTCTGTCGCTGTGTGGTCTCCAAGATTGGAAGTGTGGGGAAATTGCTATAATGGGGACATATATAATAATAACAGAAACATTGTTGAACTAGTTGGAGACTGAGATGAAGCAACCTATAACTAGGAATGTTCTAACCCATAATAATCTGAGCTCCTAACCTATAGCTATATAAATCCCTACAGCTGATGCACTATCAGTCTCTCGTCTTAGAGACAGAGGAAGACACCACCACATGTGGCACATGTTCTGGGAGAAAGGATTTCTACATTCCCATTTAGGCAGCATCGCTGTTTTAATGAGCTACTGGGGATAATTTCTAGGCATTTGGAGTGCCAGGACACCTTTTATCAGGATAGTATTTCAGCAGTAAGAAGTCTAGCAAAAAAAACTGTTGGATAGGGATGTGCACGCTGACGCCATCGCGCCTGTATGAGCAAATGAAAAGGATTGATACAGAGGGGCAAAGAGTGATCTTTCAGTGATTTTATTTGAATGTCTTTAATCTCTTTCAATAAAAGTTTTTTTTTAAATATATTTACTAAACTATGGGATTTTTTGCTTAATTTCCCCTTAGATTGACGGGGTTATTCACAAAAGGGTGAAGAGTTTGGGGAAGGTAGGAGAAGTGAATAATCTAGGACAACATAGTTGAACTAGAAAGTGAGCTGAATTGGAGTGTTTTTTCAAATCAGCTATTTTTGGCCTAGATTATTCACTGCTCCTGCCTTCTCCAAACTATTGACACTTGTGTGAATAACCCTGTGAATGCTTATTGGGACCATTTCTAATAAGAGAGGCAGTAATCTGAATTAACAAATAGCAGTGGAGAAAGGCAGTGAAGAGCTTTAGTGTGCCGGAGCAGAGTGGAGACGGAAGGAGGAGAAAACTTCTGCATAAATTGAGGAGGGCATGAGAAGTGGAGAGAATTTGGCTATATTCGACCATTTATAATTTGACAGTCAAAATGTTCCGGTGAGTGGATGTTGGTAGAGAGATCCAGGAAAGGTTTCACAGAGAGCACTTTAATTGTGGACATATTTTAATTAAAGCATACAGGTGGAAGTATACATATGGGGACTTTGCACAGTACTTTATTTATATACCTTATATACCTGTGGATTTGTAATGTGAGCATATTTTTTGTGGCTACAACAACAAATGTGCACGTTATATCATAACTAGATGATTAGTTGTGTCAAGTGGATTTGTTAAATTCATATGCACTATATGTATTTTTTATTTATTTATGATATTTTTTTATGGTGGAACAGCACTGGATTGATTTTTATTAGTTAGTCTGTATATATCTGCATGTTTTTTGTGGGGTGATTATATTGAGCTATTGCCTTTATTAATAATAGCAAGCGCTGTACTCTGTTGCATTGCAACTGATATCACTTGGGATGTTTAAATATACTGTTTACTGCTTTGATGCTTGTTTGTTAAAGAGTAAATGCCAATTGCCATGATTTGTATCTGGTTTCAACTGTGAGATATCCTACAAAATCACTCAGCATTGGATAAGTAATATATATTCCCATCCAGCTTGTGTAATAAGCAACACAAACACAAAAAATCCTGGGGGTTGTATTATGGAAATACCAATACAGGAGCAGATATTGTTGATGGAAACCCAATTGCTCCTATGAAAAAAAAAACATAATTTAATGGAAAATGTCACTTCCTCCATGAGTCTTAATTCTATTTATTTAGCATTAGGTGTATTAGCAATTTGTATTAGCGATAAAATAAACCTATTATCCACATTAACATAGACTATAAATCTTTGTAAAAGGCTGCTGAATGATTCATGCTAAACAGATTTTGAATTAGGTTTGATTTCAAGCTAATTAGGTGGCTTATCACTTACAACCAGACTACAAACAATTTAGACCCGGTATGTTATGCAATCCATCACCATACCACCTATCATCTTGCATTTCAGGTCATTCCTCGGGTGTCAGTAATATAGCTTTGCACGTGTTTCTTTTATTTTAAAAGCCAGCTTCTGACAAAATTAAGCCTTGATTACGAAATGTGTTGCAATAATATAACTTCTCAGGTGTATTTCCCCATTTTAATGGTTTTCTTTAATATATTCTTCAAATGCAAGGAACAGAACAAACATAGTGAAGCAATGTATTCAATATAGGACATTTCAACAATATCAGGTATGTTATTATTATTAAGTAATACGGAATGTGACGTATGCACAATCTTCTGACTAACAAACAAAAGACACAAATGCATTTTGGCAATCCCTTCCTCATACATGTACATGAATTGTTCATTATATGTTCAATAATTTACCTGGTACTGCCTATTAGACATGTGCTATTCGTTTCGTTCCAAATCGGAATTCGGACAAATTTTCGGAAATTCGGATGTATCCGAATTCCGATTACAGATATAACGAATCCAAACGAATCCAAATTTCCGTTTCCGAAATTCGGTAGCGGTAGTTCGTTCGAACGTTCGTTTCGTTTTCATTTCTTATTGGTTCCGTTCGTTGAAGAAAAACATTTTCCCCCTCAAATGTCATTTTGCTGCAAACGAACAAACGAACGAAACGAACGTGCAAACGAACTACCGCTAACGAATTTCATCCGAATTCCGAATCCGAATTGACTTTCACACCCGAATCCCGAAAAACAAAATAACACAAATCCAAATTTAAAACGAAACTAAACTAATTTTTTGGCAGTGCACATGTCTACTGCCTATGTGGCAGCACCATGTGATACCAGCTCAAACTGAATAAGTAAAATTTTCCATGTAATTGGACACACCATGATCGATACCCTTGCCCTTTTGATTCATTTGTTCATATTCCTTACATAGTGGTGTTGCTGATTTCTGCCAAAATTATTCAAAAAAACTTCTGCCAGTCAGTTGCCAGCTTTAAATGCTTTTAGTGTTCAAAGCAACAATAAGACCTTTAGAAAATCCAATCATATCCTGACTTACTTATGCACTGATCAGTGCATGTCAGCTAAATTTACCATAGGCAGTGACCTACAATAACCAACAATCAGGTAATATCTTTTGTAAATTGGATTTTCCTTGTAGACAGTGACAATGCTTCCACAGAATTCAGTAATTTGGCTTAATGTGTGCCTGACCTAAACATTTTTAAACTGATCTTGAAACATGGGGACATGCTCTCACTATTGCCACTGTGTTAACCTGTAAGCTTTGTAAGCATAAATATATTGTATAAGGAGTGTAGTGGGGTGGAGCTGAGAATTTAGGATGATGATGGCTTATTAGCAGAGGAACAATATTGACTGGGATGTTTTTACCTTCTGTAAAAGAGAAGGTAAGAATAGTCCACTGGAAAGTGTAAATAAATGAATCAAATATGAATACAATTATACATAAAAAGTTTTGACTTAATCAGAGTATATCCCAAGTAAATGCAACTCCCATAAGGTGTCAGGTCAGGTCTCACTAAAGAGCCGGCAAAAGGAGAGGTAAAAGCCAAGATGGTGAAACTAAAGTAGACATTGAATTAGCCCAAGGGAGATGCACTGACCCTTGTTCAGCAATGTAAAACACTATATAGGGGTCAATTCACAAAGCAGCGGAAGGATCTAGCCGTAAATTCGGACGATCCTTCGGCACCAGGACCTTCGGTTCAGTAGAACCGAAGGGCTGCTGTACGGGCTATTCACAATTGCCCGTACAGCTCCCGAACTTAGCCGAGCCACTCAGTCGAGCCGAAGGCATATGTCTCGGCTCGGCTGAGCCGCGCTGAAAACCGAAGCTGGCCGAACGGCCGGCCATTGCCTGGCCGACAGACTGCTTCTGACAGCTGGGCAGAGCCAGCTGTGATCTTACGGCTGGCTCCGGTCACTTGAAGAAGAGATCCGCGTCCCTGGACACTGATCTCCAGACAGCAAACTCTCCCGGGTGCTCCGGGAGTCTTCAGGTCGCCCAGGAGAGGAACACTGCTATTTTTTTTCTTCTTTATTCTGACACGGAGCCGTGTCAGAATAGAAAAAATAAATAAACATTTCCCATAGGAATGCACGCCCGGGAGAGTTTTTTTTCTAGTTTTTTTTTTTACGGCAGCAGAACTGCCGGACAATAGAAAACTGTTGGGCAGAGCTAGCTGTCATTGCTAGCTCCACACAATCATTTTCTATTTTTTTTGTACTTTTTTAACTGTTTTTCTGTTCTGCTCGGTCCTCACTGCTGTTCGCAATCTATAAGAATAGACTGAACAGCAGCGAGTAACCTGCTGGAGGTTCGGCTTAGCCGATCCAGATGTTGGATAGGCTGAGTCGAACTCCTCCTGCACTTCAGGACCCGAAGCCACGTGATGCCACCCGATGTACGGTTGATTTCAGCTGATGTACGGCTGATTTCAGCCGATATACGGCTGAAATCAGCCGTACCAGCCTGAAGTGAATAGCCGAACAGCGTTCGGCTCACTTCACTTCAGGTTGGTCTGATTTGTTCATATTTGATTCAATAAAAAGTGATTTATCTGTGCTCTTCAGTGCACTGTTTGCTTTCTCTTTTGCCTTCAGGCATAGGGCC